ACGTCAGTCCAATGCAGGCTCCCTGCCTGCGTTCAGAATCAGTGAGCTCCTGTGAGCCAAGGTTAATTGTTTCTGTGGGTTTCCTTGTGATGTCCTAGAGCCCTCTGGCTCTGGCTGAAACAATTCTTTCTCTATTCCTTCAGCAGGTTTCCCCAATGTCAGCCTAATATTTGGCTGTGAGTCTTTGCATCTGCTTTCATCATTACTGAATGAAGGCTCTCTGATGACAACTGGGTTAGGTGCCAAGCTATGAGTATAGCAGAATATTACTGGGCATCATTATATTAACCTTTATTCTCCATTGTTTGGTTCTATTCTAGGTCTCTGGGACATTCAGCCTCTAGGTCCTGGCACTCCAGACAGTGTCAGGGGTGGACTCACACTCTTTGGTTGGCCACTCTATAACCTCTGTGCCTACCCTTCCCTCAGTACATACCAAAGGCAGGACAAATTATAAATTGAAGGTTATATGCTTGGTTTTTGTGTCCAAATTTCTCCACTGGAAATCTTACCTGGTCACAAGAGGTCTGCTACAGATTGCCTATTGCTAGTAGTCTTAGCTAGAATCATCCTTGTAGATTTCTAGGAGTTTCCCTTGCACAGTTTCGTTTACCTAATACCCAAATGCTTCCCTTTCCAGTCATCATTTTAAGTACTCTCTCCCCTCCATCCATGGCCAACCTGATCCCTCATGTCCTACTCCATCCTGTCTGCACTCTAGCCAAGAGATCTCATCTATTTCCCCTTCCCAGGGAGATCTGTCCTTCTTGTTACCTAGTCTCTCTGGGTCTGTGGATTGTAGCATGGCTATCATTTACTTAAAAGCTAATGTCATTTGTAAATGTGTGTATACCGTGTTTGTCTTTTTGAATCTGGGTTACCTTATTTCGGGTGTTTTTCTTTCTAATTCCATTAATTTGCCTGCAAATTTCAAAATGTCATTGTTTTTTTACCACTGGAGTAATACTCCATTATGTAAATGTACCGCATTTCCTTTATCCATTCTTTGGCTGATGGGCATCTAGTTGTTTCTAGGTTCTTGCTATTACAAATAATACTGTCATGAACATAACTGAGCAAATGCCCTTGTGGTATGATTGTGCATACTTTGGGTATATGCCCAAGAGTGGTATTTCTGGGTCCTGAGGTAGACTGATTCCTAATTTTCTGAGAAACTGCCATATTGATTTTCAAAGTGGTTGTACAAGATTGAACTCTGACTAGCAATGGACGTGTGTTCCCCCCATTTCACATCCATTCCAGCACAAAGTATCATCAGTGTTTTTGATATTAGCCATTTTGATAGGTGTAAGATAGTATCTCAGTGTTGTTTTGATTTGCATTTTTCTGATGATTAAGGATGTTGAGTAATTCATTAAATGTCTTTTGACATTTGAGATTCTTCTGCTGAGAATTCTGTTTAGATCTGTACCCCATTTTATAATTGGAATATTTGGTATTTTGATGTCTAGATTCTTGAGTTCTTTTTATATATGTATGTACACACACACACACACATGTGTCAAGAATGTCAACATTCCCTCCCTGCTTTGTCATTAATAAGCACTCAAGTGTGGTACCTGGAAAGGTAGCAGACACCACATAGGTGACTGCCTTCAATCTTGGTACCGGTGTGAGTTCACATACAACAAGCTACACACTTTTTCTCTGAGGGTAAATGTCCCAACTTCTTGAATATTGGGGGCAGTTCACAACATAGCTTTCCTGGTGACAACGCCAGTTCCGTGGAGTGCAATAAACCAAGCAGGCTTAGGTCATTCCCTACACAGTGTCAAGTTGTATTGTGGCAGCTATACCCTAATGCCAGCATACTGGAATGTCAACAGAGCACTAGTAACATAAAAATGCATGGGCTTCAGATGCCTAAAACAGCCTAAATTGAGAGACCAGCCCCTCCCACACACACCCAGAATGTGAAATCCCTTCCAAAGCAAGGGCACTAAGCAGCTTTCAGACTCCAGTATAAGTGGCTGTGTGAGCCTGTGGAATTGTTTGTTTCCTAGTAGTCAAGACAGGCAGCATCTATACTACTGGCTGGGTTCCTTGTTTATCTGTAAGCTTGTGGGGACTGCTAATCTTTCCAAAAGCCAGGACAGGCAACATCTATGGTGTCAGCTTGGATTTTGGTTTACCCTTACCCCTGTGAAGAGAAAACGCCTCCTCCCCAGATGTGGCTCCAGGCTTGCAGATGCCATGTTTCTCTTACGATTGCTGCTGTCTCAGTCTCAGGATCTGACCAGGTTCCAGTCTGCTGTAGATTTTGTGTTCTCTCAGCCATTGATCCCTTTTGGTTTAGCTTGTCCTTGGAGAAGAGGAAGTGACAGCTAGGCATCTCTGTTCAATCATATTGAATCTCAGTATTAATTCACTTTGTTGAATTAGCTTTTTGAGAGAGCCCCACTATGTTACCCTGGAACTCATTGAACTCATAGCTCAGGCTGACCTCTAACTCACAGGTTGCCTACCTCTGCCTCTCATGTGCTTGTATTAAATACACGTGCCTTCACACTGGGCACCGATTTATCTCTTCTAAATAAAATTCGCATTTTACTTGTTGGATATTCTTTGTTCAGTTTGTTTCTGTATAGTTGAGTCTTCCCTCTAATTTGGAGTCTATGATGAGGGTTCAGTTTAATGCTAAATCCCTGTCTTGCCATGTGATATTTATTCTACAATTTGTGTCTTGGGTTCACTGAGTTTTAGGAGACATAGAAGTCTCTTTAAAATGAAGGGAACAATGAGACAAACTTCTGGGTAGCTTGTACCAGGGCTACTGACTTGAGTCTCAAATGTCCATTCCCACCCATATTATTACAACTTGAGATCTGTGTCCTCATACTTTATACTCTATACTGGGAGAAACCATCTCTGTTTTTCTTTGTCTGGTGCAGGGAAGGCATAGTTATATACAGAAATCAAAATGGTTGGTTATTGTCCCTTGCCCCAGGGTCCCACAATACACATATCAAACTTTACTTTCTTTAGAACACCTTTCTTTGTGAACAGTAGTCTCTATCATGGATGCTGAGTTGTAGATTTTTTTCCTCATTCAGATCTAGTTGTCTTTTTTATGGACTTAATACTAGTCTCTGGGCCATGGAGCATATTGTTTCATCTGCTGTAGGGTGATTATAGATTTATTAAAATGGCTTTTAAACCATTTTGAGGTCTGAGCAAAAGAGGAATCAATAGTAGGTTCTGCCATCATGAATTAGAAATATTTATCACGATGTTTTTTTTTTTCCCCAGAAACATGAACAGATCTTATCTTAAAATAATAATATTCATTGATAGGAACCAGAAATAAGACTCTTGTGAGTATAATACAGTTACCACATAATATAAAGTTTGTAGGTTGGATGATATATAAAAATTAGAATATGATAGTATATAATTGTGCAGCTACAAAGTCCTCATTAAGAATGTCATTATGTGATAGTGGTTAGACAGACACTTAAGCTCTGACGCTTTTTTGCCAGTCTAATGCTGCTACCATATCCTATATGTCTAGGCTTCTGTGTCCCAGTGAAATTACATTATTCTTCATGTACTGTCTATTGAACATGATACTCAGCACACACAGTAAGACCCTTAAAATGACTCAGCAGTGTAAGTGTTATTTCTCGTCAGTGTATGGGGGTATTGAGACTCAGTAAAATTGTTCAAACTCACAGAACTAATTATAGTCAAATTCTAAATTTGCATGTTCAACATTGGCCCATCTAAAGTCAAACACTGCTTATTCTGATCTTTAGCGGGTCTATAGATTTTAACACAGACTTGGTCAATGTGGTTATTCTCTCTTCTCTAACAGATATTTATTTCTTTCTTATCTGAGGATGAACCTAAGAGACTGCTGTTTTTACAAACAAAAATTATGTGTGGAAATCTCATATTGTTCAGACAAATACTGTGTCTTAAAACAGTGCAGAAGTATGATTCTTTAGAGATCAATATATGATTTCTTCACAGTTGTCTTAATCTTGTTGATGATCCACTTTGAACGCTAGTTCATAGGAAGTTTTACAGGAATGAATGCCAAGATTTGCTAGTTTCTCCATTAGTTTGAGAGAGGATGCAGCAGCAAGAAGTTTATTACAGCATGCAGAGTCTGAGAACTCTGGAAGGCACTCGGGGGCTCTTCCTTCACATCAAGTGAAATGGATGTTTAAGACAATACTATTTTAGGTATCCAGGATAATGGGAGCTCCTGCTGACACTGCACATATATTCATCCCTGCATGTCGTGACATCCTAAGAGCCATGAGTTGAGAACCAACGCTTTATGGCCGTGGTAGGCATTCACAAAGTGTTCACTCAACTAAGGGGCAATCATTACCAATTGAACTCTTGAACTGTCACAAGAGATGGTCTGAATTTCAACAGAGCTTTAAGCATGTGCTAAAAATGAGAAAGGCATTCATTAGGAGTTAGATTGTGATTGTAAGTCTATCAGCCCCACTGCAGCTAAAGGTACTGTCGAGATACGTATATGGCCTTTGTTGCAGGAATGGTTAAATAGCAAATTTATTTAAATGAGCTGATGAGTGCGACTCATGTGGTCAATGTACTCTGCTGTTTAAAACTTGGATAACGCTTAGTCTAGGAAGCCTTATTTTGCCATCTTCTGAGAATTCTTATGTACCATTGTATAGTTTCCCCAAATATGTAAACTCTAATTGTTTAAAAAGCTATTTTGGTATTTCCCTTACAAGTATGTTTATAAAGAGTGAGGTTTTTAATACAAAATTTCAACTGTTACTAAATAATCACCCCAGACATTGTAATAGACAATGGTGAAAATTAAGATGTCTCTAACTATTAGGTCTCTTGTTCGCATATTTAAAAATATGTCTTTTTTCTATACTTAATTCTCTATGGTACTATTATTTTCACAATCACATAAAGCAGAATGGTATTCGTTGACAATTAGAAATCTACTCCATTAAAGAGAAACATTTCAAAACAGACAAAAGTACTGTGAGATTAAATAATTTATTACTGTTGCTAAGATGAACACATATACTTAATACTCAATTTTATGTGGAACTTTAAAAAAATAGTTTTAATACAGTATCAAAATTTACAGAAGTATTTTGTCAAAAGACCAGTGTCCTTTGTATCTGCTACTGCAGGCTCCGCTGCAAGCACAAAACTTGTTTAAATATCTTCCGATTGTAGGAGGACAACAACCAAGGGGTGCCTCTATGAGGGAAGGTGTACACAGAGCAAACAATTTTCTCTTAGACACTAAACAAATAACATTTTAAAGGAAGAGTCTTAAATTATAATCATTATCGTAAATGGAAATATCCTTCTATAGTAAATGAATTTGTTAAGTATTTTCAGAAAAATATTTTAGAAAAGTATTTCAGAGGGCAGTTTTTAAAATCATAATTATACTTTTTTACTACAACAAAATTCTTTCTCATCCCCCTGCCAACAACCATTAATATGGTATACAGTAAGACCATCTAAAAAATAAGAAAGAATTTTGACTGAATCAAATCTTAAGTCCGGAAGACACCCAGGAAGTGTTGTACCCCTCCTTTTATAATCTTAAACTATAGTAAAAACAGCATTCTGTCACAGGCCTCTTGCACATTCATACAAGAAACTATCATTGCGTTTAGATAAACACAAAATATCTATCACAGCATTTCCAGTACACACATTCTAATATTATATATGTATACCAAAAATAAGAAAACTAAGCAACGCTAGCACAGCTCAAGCGATCTGAACAGGAGCTTTTAGCCTCAATAATGGACATGCGTTAATTTCATAAAACACTAGATAGCTGCAATAAATAGGCAAAGAAAGCTTTTGTATCATAAGTTCAGTGCAATATTTTAAATTTTACATAAAGTTTATTAAATATACAGCATGTCTAGAAACTAAATTGTAGAAATAGACAATCTCACAGCTCGAAACACTTAGAAAAATTACGTTTATTTCCTTGTTAGTTGACATTGGTATGCTGAATATATATGGAGGGTGGTGTGTCCCAAAGACCTGCCTTTATAAACAACCCATCAAAATTAGAATACCTATTCTGACCAGTTGAAAAAAAAAATGGTACTCTCTGATAAGCACTCTAAAATTCCTACTATCTTTCTAGCTGGTAAAATAATTTGTGATATTTTAGCACCTCGGAGTTCAAAACAGAAATCAAATATTATCTTGCATCTAACTAATTATGCATTAGGGAGCAATCTTTCCTCAATCGAAATACAAGAGGGAGCTTCCCAACCCAGTCTTGTATGCTGGAAAATACCTCTTCCACACAGAAGAAAATTCCCCCACTATTAGATACAATAAACCACCTCTATCAAAGCCATGGAGGCGCTACTGGACTCATCCAACCATGCAGACTACCCAATGTGTCAATCATAGATGTGGAGAGTTGAAAACATTTCAGTTGTCATGAAAATATTGATATGAAAACAATAGTTTTCTGAAGCTACCTTGAGACTGCTGTGAACACTAAAGTGAGGAGCATAGCACGTATTAGCTTTATGAGGGAAGTTGCACTGAAGGGTTTAGAGGGGAGATATGTGCAATGTACAATCACTCCATGGGATGCCATGAGTCCCATTTTGTAGGAATCAACGTGTTTTTTTTTCTTTTTCTTCTTTTCTTTATTTTCTGGTAGTGATGATTTCATGTTTGAAGGAAGTGCTTCTCACATGGGCCCTTTGTACTGGTTTCCTGACAAATGTTGCCTAATTCCAGGACAGGAGCCTGCAGCATCTCCAAGTTTCCTCCACACAACCTTCAAAGAAAAAAAGAAAAAAGAAATAAGCATCTTATGTGCTGTCTTACAGAAACAGATGCATGGGTTTCAGGGGAACTGGGAGAAGGCCAAAGATGGGTGCAAAGACAAGACAAACTCCACACGAATGGGTTCAAACTCAAAGTAAAGCATGGTGATGAGAATTTCTAGAACACAAGGACTTTTCTAGAGCTAGGATGCTATACCTCACCTGCCAGCATCCAGAGCTGATATTAGAGAGATTTGAGATCTCCCAGTAGCTATCTGAGTGGTCCTCAACTCTGGCTTAGCAAGAATTCTCACGTGCAGAAGTTTTGAGGATGCTGGCAGAGAGGAGCACTGGTATCTGTATTTTTATTTAAAGTTCCCAAAGTGATTTTAATGTGCATATAGAATAAAGAGCCCTTGGTTAAAAGAGCAGACTGGCTCCTCTAGCATATATCTGTAACAAAAGATACAAAACATCTAATTCATTTAGAAAAGAGAATTTGCATTCTTGAGTCACATTAAATCCTAATATTCTAATTTTGGTTTCCTGATCTTTGCAAAGTAGGATATGTGGTTGTCATGAATTTCAGGTAACAAGCTAATGGGGAGTTCTCTCATTTCCAGAACAGAAAGCAAATAAACATAATGTTAAGGAAATCCAGAAATTACTGAAAGAAATATAATTCCAACCTATTAAAACATGGGCCATTTTTCATGGATATTAGAAAATGGATAATATTAAGAATAACGTGACTATTAAATTATTGAGGTCAGCAAAAATTCCAATAGACAAGTACTAACTGGAATAAGGAGGTGCATGTATACACACAGTGTACACATTATACCATGACTATTCACTGTGAGGACTGTGTTAACCTGATGAATTTCACACAAATTTATGGTGCTCCATTATGAACACAAAACCAGTAGTTCATTAGCAACAGAGAGACTATCTCTTTTTTATTTTGCTTTCAATTAGAAGTAGATTCACTAGGGACAATGATTACCGTTTACAGTGATACATAGAGACTTCTGCTTTTCTTCATTTCCAAGACAGTGGAATCAAAAGAGTCACCATTGCATAGGGAAACAGCATATTACCCTCAAGGGTAATTTTAGTTATGGCCTTTAAATACAAGGAATAGAATTTTATAGCAATGGACAGCTTCAGCCATACACAGGAATCCAAGAAAGTCTCAAAAGACACCATGCATTTATCCTTTCCAGCCCATAAGTAGAATCAGTTCTATCCAGAATGTTTGGATGTCTGATTTGGAAGCAAGGGATCTATCTGAAGACCTCAGAATAACTGCAGATGTCAAAACACTGGCTGTTGCAACTCAAAAGTGCAACTCTTCTTTAGTTACTAAATTGTGGAACAAATGGGCCACATCCAGGTATTACAATGAGGAGAAAGGAAACTCCTACTGAAGGCAGAACTCTGGATTAAAGCAATGACACTAAGGGGTTACTACATTGATGAGAAACAGAACAGGGCTGTACACAGAGTGGGAGTGAGATAAGTATCTCAGTTGTCATTGGAAGATTTCAGACAAGTCTAAAATGACAAGGTTCCTAAAGATGATGGTTACAGTTCTCAGAGGGCAGTATGTTTATCCTTAGAAGAGAACCAACTAACTGCTCATTCAACAGTGTGATGGTGTGTGGATGAGAGTCTTTTTGGTAAGTTGATGCCACCCACTTACATCCAGGAGAAATATCAGAAACTGACAAAATCCCCATTACCTTGAGTTTTTTCAGAGACTTATTAAGTTTATAATATCACACAAAATTCTGTGACATTATAAAAATTTATAGATCCTAAAATAGGAAGTCTTTGTAATCTTTGTTACCTACTTTCCAGGACGATTATTTATGAAATTGCCTTGCAATCCTCTTTCCTTATTACCTACCCTTTGATTATTCTCCAGTACTTACTGTGTGCTTTTGATGGCCATGTGATTTTTTTTGTTGTTGTTTTGCTTTGTGACAGGGTTTCTCTGTGTAACAGCTGAGGGCTATGCAATTTATAATGGTGCTATTTAAAATGTTTCTAAGTGAGTGTTTAAGAATCAGAGCTAAGGTTTGGTTTTCATTTTCTCTTTGTAATACAGGGACCAATGACAAACATGGAGAGTTAGAAAAAGAGCCCCAAGGGGAACTATATAAATAAATAAAATGGGTGAATATGAGTTTAAAATCTTGTACAGTTAAAAGACCATGAGAATATAGTGTCCTTTTAAGGCAAACAAAAATATCAACAAAAAGAAATCATCATCCCAAAACGTGTTCAGGAAGTTTTCTTTATGGTGAGAGTTAAAAACAGCTGGTCCTCAAAGGAGACCTGGCTAAAACATGGACTTCCCTAATCACTTTGAGCAAGTAGCTGCATTTTTAGGTCTTAATCTCTTCAAACGTGTAATGTGAGTGTTGGGGCTTTTGGCCAAGGTGATACATCCAAATAACCTGTAACTAGTGTTAAATAAGAAATCCAATTAGGGAGTTCCCCACACTTCTAAGAGGCTCCCACAGGATGGTTTGTGTGCTTCTCTCCCAGTACTAAAGTACCTATAAACTGAATTTTACTTCCATTCTGACAGTAAATAAATGAGAAGCAACAAGATCCCTAGGCTTATGATTCAAAGCTGTAAATTTATAGGATACATGTTCAAATGGAAAGACCTTAGGCACAAGTTGAAAAGCTAAGAGCGGGTGAACAGTAGTATATTTAAGAAATGATATGTAGAACCATGATCATTTAAAACCAAACAACAGATATGTAGCAACGAAAGGTGCTTGGGAAAGATCGCAAAATGAGAGCAGCCACAACACAGGCAAGCAAGAGGTTTGAAACTTCTCACCCCAGCACATATAAAATGCCCATGGGACTTAAAGATCATTTACTGGATTCCAGAAATATTATGAGGTGGTGAACCAGATCTGAGAATATATGAGCTCAAAACATGTAAAGCTAAAGGGGATTTCTAAACAAGTTTTCTATCCCATGATACAAGCCTAAAATATGAGGATAAAAACACAATGCAACAAAACAAAGCCAATTAAAATTAGGGCTCAATCATGGCTTCTTATATATAACAAATGCAATTTTCTACAATAATTCATTTACTTCTTCAAAGCTGTATGACTGTATTCTTGATTGAATATTATGTCAACTAACAATTACATTGTCAAGTTTTAACTAATTTCTCTGACTTCGTGGATAGATTTTATTCATGTATCCCATTGGTGCACCTATTTTGCCTTACCAGTGTCTAAGATTGAGTTGGCTACGAAATGTGAAGACAATACTTAGTATGATATGAAGGGTTCATATCTCTCTCATCTATGAACCAAGTAAATATTAGCTAGAAAAGTAATCAATTTGTGGGGTTGTTCATCATAAGTTTTTCTTCCTTTTAAAGTGTCTTAAATTCAATAGCTAAAAATGTTCATAGGTCATTCTGGAATGCAGAACTGACTGATCATTTCTGATCACACCCAGGGCTTTGCATATAGTGGGCAAGCACTATAGTGCCAAACCCACTGATCTCAGTGGTTTTCAGCATGACTGTATGAATATCCTTGCAATAAAACAAACTGAAAATAAAAACAAGGGCAATTGTTTTATTTTCATGTAAAAAATGTAAAGACATTTGGTCAGCAATTTTCAAATTAGATATTCTTAAAGGGATAATTGAACTGTGATAAGGCTGTAACACAGAATACACAATCAAGCACATCAGACTTACATTGCACATTTCTCTGACTATAGCTTTTTCTGTCTCACTAAGGTCATGGTCATACTCTTTACCCTGTTGACGGTCTATAGTTTCCTGAACATCCAAGACCTGGATTTGTTGAAAAAGAAAAGCAAATTTCACATGGGGAAAATCTGTCAGTTTATGATAACACCATCAAGGACCTCCACTTTGTCAAATCCTAAGTTTTCTCCCATATCAGAATACGTTCATATATGGCAAAATCTTTTTTTAGTCTAAAACCTGGAATGCATTCTGTTGATTTATTTCAAGTGGCTGTTCGAAGCAATCTATTATATCACTAATAGTCAACTGAATTCATTAATGTTTAAAATAATTAAGTGCAGTTAATTTAGTCATTAAGATATCTAATAGTGTGAGTCATTTGGGGTATAGTCAATAACTCTTGCTCCAATGCAACAGTGAATACAATTAATTATATGCCAAATGGTCCAAGTGATATGCAGACAAGACCTATAGAAAACATGGCTACTAAAAATACGCATATGAATTATGCAGATGAACACTACGAGTTCAGTGTTCTTGCCTGGACTAGTGCCAAAGAAAGGAATGTGGGGACAGACTTGAAGAGAAATACCTCATGACTTCTTACAGTGAAAATATCCAAGCAACGCTTGAGATATTTTCTTTTTCATTTGAGCAAAGTGTGTTTTAACTGTCTTTTAAACATGTTTATTGGTCTATGTTACTACTTCTCTAAAATGTCCCTAAATAGGCCAAATATATTACTTTTTAAATGCCAACATTTTCATGTAGTAACAGGCTGTGGTACAGAAGGGTTTCAGTTGTCACTGTTGGAGTGGTTTGCAAGCCAAGGCATTGATGTAGCATAAAAATTAATCCTTATTCTGCAGCATCCACCCCGGACTAGGACTTACTAAATAGCTTATTCTTATTGTCATCCTGGTCAGGAAGGCCACAACTAAGGGTGTATCCCAATAATTAGCACCAGTGGATAATTTGGGTTTCCATGTCAAGTTCATAAACACTGAGACTGAGTTCAATTTTGTAATAGTCTTATTCAAAATCTCCTTCTCATTGTCACCATACTGATACCAACATTTTATTTGGAATACTTGATCCTAGCATTATAACCATTCTTTACATACTGAGATGAAATCACTTCAGCCTGAAAATGTAAAGATCACCTTGAACATCTGCCTACACATTCAATTTATAATACACCTGAAAACAACATGTACTTCAAATCAGTTCACCTCTACTAAATTAAGCTGCAATTAATAGTAATCATACACTTTAGAGTCAGGGATACATACTTTTATTAAAATGAACCAGCTTCTCTCACTGATTTATAAGATTTCCCAACAAAACAGGCCCAGTGTTCATTAAAACCTGGTGTTTTCTTTCAAATGTATCAAAAGGGAGAAACTGAATCATTTTCTATTGCCATATTATTTTGCATACTGATCCTACGAGGTATTTTCCAAGGTATATGTCTGCACATACTTCTCCTGACATGGAAAGTTTCAAAAGTGAGCACTTTGGATATTTCAGGTCTTCTAAACTTGTCTGCCTGCTTAGTCTCACCACTCACCCACGAAGGAAACCATGTGTCTTCTGGTAAACCCACCCTCTCTTCAGACAACATTTTACACAGAAATTAGAGACTCATTTCATAGGAAATTAAGGGTCCTTTTCTTGCCATTCCTGTCCTTCGAGGCCACACTCAAAGTTTTACTGAGAAGTTAGGAGATTTCAGTGTGTCTCACTATGTGCATTGAATTTAAATGTCACATTTGACATTCAAAAAGGCAGCAGGTTAAAATGGCTTTCAAACAGTTTGAGTAACAGGGCAAGGTGCTGCTTTTGGAAATTTGGCAAGAAAAAAAAATCTGAACTGCTATAAGTTGAAGCTGATCTGTGGATCTTTTTCAGTTCTAAAATGCTTTCAGAAGGCTGGTGCCTGATTCACCCAAATGCTCAACCAGAGAGGAACGTCCTGATCAGCCACTAAGCCCACACCTGCCAGAGGCAGAGCAGGGCCCTAAAACCTTGCTGTTACTTTACACCCATTCCACTCCGTTGCGGGTTGTGTTTTCTCCTAAGGCAGGAGTCTAGTGCACTGACAGTGGCCACCAGCATGGTGCTCTTACTTGCTCTCATCTGCAATCCGTACATGTGGGAAGAACATGAATTCATTTTCTATTAACCAAAGCAAAATATCCTGAAAGCTAAATCTCCCGTTGAAGTTAAATCACAAAAATGAAAGTGTGTCTTTGAGATTCTCATCAATTTATCTGCATACCAGGATTTGGCATACTCTCGAAAAGGGCAACTTTAGTCTGATGGTAAGTCGGAATAATTTTAAGTAAGTGAAATAATTTTAAGAAAAGTTAGAAAGCTTATATGCCAAAAGTTAACCTTAAGCCCTCTAACTGCTTTATGGTTCAGATAAGGTTGGTTAAAACTGTTCAAAATATGAGCCTATCTAAAGGACAGCATTTCATACTTAGTAATTATCTCAGTTCTTAAGGTGATTTTTATTGCCTGCATAAATAATCACTTTATAATCTTAGGTAATCATTTAAATTATTTAATACTAATTTTAATTGTAATACTTAATAATTTTATTTACTATAAAACATCATTAGTTAATAAAATACATTATTAATTTTGCTCAAATTATCATTGTCACCATTGAATCTGAAGTAAAAGTCAAAACTAGAGACCATTTATTTTTTTCTAATGTGCCTATTAAGGAACAGTAACTGGGATTTGAAAACTTAATTAGACTTAATAGAAGAATAGTCATTGAATAATAACCATGTAATAACTTCAACTGCCGTCCTCACGTTGACAGTCTTACTAATGTCATATGTGTGGTGGCATCTACGCCATAAGCATTGCACACAGAAACCCTGTAACAACATTTTCACATGGATATGCATGCACAACAGACTTCAGTTTCAATGTAGATAGAAACAAATCACATTACTCAAGCAGAATAACAGAAGTAGATATTTAACCTTACACACTCAAGTCCACTGTCAGTTCACAAATTAAAGTCATACAGATTAGAAAGTTACACCAAAAACAGGGTTAAAAATAAAGTATCTATGGTTACAGCAAGACTGAGGACTGCCAGACTACAGCAAACAAACCACGACACAACTGAGGTTCTGGAGAAATGGTTGCACACAATTGGTTACCTTAAGAGAATGTACCACAGGTTCAGGCTGCTGAGAAGATGTGGTATGTCCACTGAAGCTAGCTGGAGAGTTGGGTGAACTGTTACTCCCTTCAGCACCTGATGACACCCTAAAAGAGCCCTTAGTAGAAAACCAACAACTTTGTTATTAAAACAAAAGTCGTTTATAACCATACAGATGCCATTAAATATGCAGTCTCACCATCAAATGAGCAATAGCCATTTTACTATTTTTTTCTATCACCTCCCCCTCAATTTTCTTAGCCTATCTAGACGCACTCATTCTATTCATTGCAATACACTTGTACTTGAGTGATGCGAAAGCAGAAGCCATCCCCATAAGCGTCTGGGTGCCATCTCCAGTTTACCATAGAGTGCAATACCCACAAGGAATAGCCAGTAAGAACATTTCAAGACTGATGTTTGAAATCTAAAGACCTGAAGAGCAAGGAATTCATGAGTTACTCCACAACGGAGTGAAACACATTTATTCAGCAGGTCAAATGTCATGGTTCATAGGTCTCAGGAAAACACTAACACATAACATTGTTACACTGGAGAAATTGTGTCTCTTGAAAAAACCTTGTTGAAGGAAAGGCCTATAAAAAAAGAACATTTTTAAAAAGGCTTTGCTTGCTAAACTTTTCCTCAAACAGGTATTCATTTCCTAGCCTCCGTTAAAATGAAAACCAAAATATATACAAATTACACATTTGTTAATTAATGATTCTTCAACTCAGTGGGTGAGAAATGACTAATTAAACCTGTATGAACCATAGCCACCTGGGAAATCCTCTCAGGGGTCTACAGGTTTTCTGAATATTGAGAAAAGGCTAATAATGGATCAACAAGGAAAAAGAGAGCAACAATTATCTTCTCGTAGGAAAGTAGCAAGGTGAAATTTCCAAACCTGTATTTTTGTAGATCATTTCATTCTTAAGGGACATGAATTTTCTGCCCATCAAAAAAACTACAGACTTAGCCACAACTAATGGATTAATCAGTGATGTTAGTTGGTCTTGTTAAAAAAAAAATCTTCCTAAGTAGTAGGAACAACTGAAGGTGCAATGTAAATTCACAAAGGGAGAGACAATGTAAATTCATAATGTTGAGACATTAGATTTTAACAACCACAGGAGATTGTCCATGGTGAATATTTTCAGGGAGTGGAGGCCAAGTTGCACACAGCAACAGTCATAGTTACAGGCCATATACACCCAATGCTATTCACATAAAATTTAACAACCCCTAAAATTTGGAATATTATATCCCTTATCTCGCTGCTCTCATTTCCTTTGATACCATAGCTCAAGACTCCACATTACTTCCAACAAGTCTGTGAAGCATAAGTTACAAGAATTGTACAATATGACTGCTCCTGCCTCCCACCCAAACTAACCACCTGCCAGGAAAACGTTGAGATCCAATGAGACATTGTTATACATCTTTAGCTTCTCTCCTTGGTTGCTACAAAGTCTTACATTAAAAGCAGGTAAAGAAATAGGTTTGTTAAGTATAACATCTCCCCAAAGCCTCTTGAAAATTAAATTATTAAGTTTGCCTTTTCTAGGTTTGTAACTTAAATCAGGCATAATAACACTGATATGAATAAGAACAAGGCAATTTCCTGAGATTTAATGATAGTTGGAAAACAGATCTTTTCAGGCCCTAAACTGTATGCAAACTTTCTCTTTAGATTAAGCGATTCCAAACTGGATGAGTGGCAATGAAACTCTTCTTCCTGAGCGACACTGTTTGTCTGCAGTTCTCCCCTGCCGGTACCAGCCCAGCAACTCTTTCAGAAAAGCATGTTTAGGGTGTGTACATTCAGCTCTCCTTCCATTTGGAACAGTACACTATTCTTCTGCTTGGTGATCTGAGACACAAGACAATAAATATTGCCATGTGGGTGACTATCCTGCCATTTCCTTTCTTAACCCTCTTCTATACACAGTTTATCTTTAAAGATTCTCTTTCCGCATTTAGCCAATGGACAGTACATTAGGAATGGCATGCTTGGGTAGGGATCCTCTGTTTTTAAAAACAATTTGACTTAATATAGATTTGAAAGTCAACATTAATATTGTCTTTAAACCTAATCATCTGGGCCAGCTGGGATTGCTTGAACTTCGAGAGAGTCCTGTACTTATCATAGCTATTAAAAAAATAAACACATAAACACTTTTATTAATTTCCTTTTGGTGGTTTTTTTTATTTTTGAGACAAGGTTTCTCTGTGTAGCTTTGTCTGTCCTGGAATTCCCTCTGTTGAGCAGGCTGACCACAAACTTGTAGAGATCTGTCTGTCTCTGACTACTGAGTAGTGGATTAAAGGTATTGTACCACCACCACCTGGCTTATTAGTTTCCTTTGAAAATGATTACAATAAGCTCTCACTTGTAATATTTATTAGGGGAAAATTTATTATCTTTCAAAACTTTAACTCTAAATTAGTTTTGAGGGCATGAACTAATAATCATCCGGAAAGATCAAGGTGTGCTCCCTCCCTCTCCCCCTCCTTCCCCAAATATTATATGTGTGTGTGTGTGTGTGCGTGTGTGTTTTATCTCTCTATTTTGGAGGCCCAAAGGTAACCAAAAACATGATAAAGATTAATATCAAATGTACTAATCGCTTTCTAGATTGTAACACTAGAATCCAACATCTCACTCTGTCTTCTCTAACAGAGTAGAAGTTCAGCTATCTAAATGCTTCTGAGGAATTTGGAGAATTACGTAGGCTCATTCAGTATGTACTCTCAGTTGACTTATATATTTTGGCTAAACTAGTTTTTAATGTCCTACTGAGTAGAATGCAGTAAAACAAATAATGCCCAAGAGTCTCTCAGAGCTTGTTTCAATACAATTAAGGTCTCTTGCTTAAACTATACAAGACTGGCTCTGAAAACAAGGAATTTAAAGGTAGAAAACCTTAAGAAAATAGGACATATGATTTGATCTTGAGTTGCCTGCATTCAAACCACATATGAAGAAATGCTGCAAACACATACAATATGCAAAATCTCCAGTCACCAGTGCATGGGCAAGGGATAATTTTCTAGACTGCCTGGATGCCCCTGGACTTTCATTTCTTTTCCTGAAGGCATTTTTGTCTTCTTGTGTAGTTGGGCTTGCTCAACCTTGATTTCTGGCTCAGAATAAACTAAGACAATTGGTAAGAGGTAAAAGATTATACTCCAGCCTACCTGGCCCCTCCCCACACAGCAACTTTCCTCCATGTAAATAGGCATCATCTACCCCTTCCCCATACAGCCATCTTCCTCCATGTGTACAGACATTATCTACCCGCCGCCCCAATTATAGAGATTCCTCTAGCCACAGAGGCCATCTAATTATACACAAGCAAATGCAGACAACTGGCTCATCTTCACTCACCGGGAGAGAGGGCAGGCATCGTCCTATTCCACGGCACCCTTGCCACCACTGCAAGACCCGCCGGGCTCTGGGCCCCCAGCCTTTCTCCATATTTGAGCTGTTTCTAGTTGGAGGTTGACTTCTATTCTGGGTGGCCTTATATTTGGAACAATATGGTACAATCACTCAGAAAAATACTTTTTCCCAAGACTCAAGAAAGCAGACAGAATAAGAAGCTAAATGAGATGAACCACAATGACCACAATGGCAAGCTATAGCATGCACCTGTATCTGGGGGAAGTTCAAGGTGACAATCAGAAGTTTATGTTGAAACTCATAGTGATGTCACTTAGGCAATAATAACTGCACCCTCAAGATATCAAAAGGAGATGATAAAGGTGAAATTAAAGAAAAGTACTTAAAGATATTTAAATAATGTCATTTCACAGATTTCACTTATTAGGAACAAAATTATCACAAATCTTCCAGATATATGAACTGTGGAGCTTCTAAATTTAACAGAAATTATTATTAATATGGTTTGAAGCAATATGAATGCTTAGTAATAAATACAAATTGGAAATTAAACTGATAATATATCAAATTCTCACAAAAACTGCTGCATAGAAAAAATTATAAAGTCCTAAGAAGCATTAAAATAATCTTTCAATGCCAAATTTATGTTAGGTAATCAATATTCAAATTTCTATACTAATTGATAATAGGAATAATACAAATTAACAAAAGAAAACTCTAAAAATAAGTTTCCTGAAATTGCAGACTTTCTGCAGGACCAACCTGTATAAATATATATATATATATATATATATATATATATATATATATATAAATGATCAGAAGCAAATGAACTTATTAGAACACAGTGTCTTTTTCTTCCTAAAGCTACTATGTCCCAAAGAAAAATAACCAAACATCCCTCCTACATAATGGCCAAAATACCATTGTAGACATGAGGAGGTGAATTCTGAGAGATTGGAACTGGGAATAAAATGTTTTAGCTCTCTATTGTAAGGCTGAGGTCTCATGATCTTTCCCCATCTACTCTGCCTGTCTACTATACCAATAATTGGTCTTCCAATACCTGAAAACATACATATGAGTGACATTATACTGACTGACCACGTTATATTTAGGAACATATATGTGTATACATATGTGCATATAACAAAACCTTATGAAAAAAAGGCCATGAATTTGAGAGAAAACAAGGAGTATATGAGAGAGTTCAAATAGAAAAAGGGTAAGGGGAAATAATGTAATTAAAACTAAAGTATTTTGTAAAATTCCTTTTACTTTTGAGGTTACAATTTCCATTTCCTGAAAGTTAGCGCTTTGATGTAATTCTCACTGTAACTTTTTGGGACAAGAGAGGAAAATATACCATGGTCTTAAGTTAAAGACAGCAATTGTCTACAGTAGCTGATTCCCCAAACCCTGGACTCAGTCTGCAAACTCAACACCAGGGACACATGTCAAGTTGCACACGCTCTACTCTTCATATATAACGGAAAATTCTACACTCACTTCAGCATGCAATATTGACGTAAGAATCATTCTTTTGTTACTTATCTCATATGTAGACATCTAACTCATTTGATTATCAAAATAATTATATTCATCAGTTTATAAAATGATTGATAGCTTTAATTTTATCTACCACCCACACTAATCAGTTCTATTTCTGAGAAGATCATTAAATATAAATGCAAATGTTATAGATACTTTTCCAAGTCATCTGGATTTGGTGATTTCCATGACTTAGACATCTCTCAGATCTTGAATTTTTTTAGTTCCAGTTAAGTAAGTAAATCATGCAGGACTGGGCTGGAGAGATGGCTCAGAGGTTAAGAGCACTGACTGCTCATCTGGAGGTCCTGAGTTCAATTCCCAGCAACCACATGGTGGCTCACAACCATCTGTAATGAAATCTGATGCCCTCTTCTGGCATGCATATATGCAGACAGAACACTGTATCCATAATAAATAAATACATCTTTAAAAAAGTCATGCAGGACTAAAATTATTTTCATTCTTCCTTCATCAGGCCAAATCCTGACGTTTGAGCTTTACAGTAAAATTTTACCTTATCCATGAAATCTACAATAGAATCTCTAACTTGATGATGACATTTTAAGGAAGAAAAAGGTGCCTCTGGAGAATCAGAATTCTGGTTTTTTTTTTTTTTTTTGGATTTGCTAACTTATGGCAACACTTGTTTTAGAATTTAGGTCTCTGGAAAAATGCATTCTGGGACAGCTACAGCCTTTTGCCCTTCATTCCCACCAACAAGGAGTCTCAGTCTTTTGCCAGCACTCCGGTTATCCACCATAGAAGTTTCTCAAGACAACTTCACAAAACAGAAGAGGTCTTCAGCATTTCCACCCCTGGAATTATTGCCAGCAACATGGTCATCAACTGCCCCATACAGTAATAATTATCCTCCAGTAGTCTGGCTACCATTAAATTGACATAATTTTTGAATTTTAAAAATGTATTCTTTTCCTACATAATCTTTAATATAATTTCTATGTATAGTTCTGCAATGAGACAATAAAAAAGGGGAATATACATAAAAGAGGAAAGATGATGGGTGAGGGTCAAACTAAAAACTGTTCTTCAGTTTCAGTAGAAGAGGTGATTTGCTTTTATTCTCTCAAACTCTAGGCATTTCTGAAAGGGGCAGAGTATAGAATATAAGATTCTTTAGAAATTGGTGATAAAGGAGAAATTAAAATTAAGACCTAAGAGGAAGACAAAAAAGACTGTACAGGGCATACCCCTATAATCCCAGGTTTCTCAGTAAACCAGACGAAATAAAGATTCTCATTATAAGATTAATCCACTAATAATGACTTATTAGAAATCTCAATAATAAAGGGTTGGAAAACATAAAGTAGCTCATATTTAAGCTCAAACTGTCCTGGCTCTTATGAGTTGGTCTAATCTAGAACCTTCTACCTCACTGACTTAGAAAGGAAGAAGACATAGGAAGCATCCTCAAATCCACAACATGTGGCTACTGCTGGAGTACATGCCTAAGGTCTAAGGATTGGAGGGGTCAGGGGTTTGGTGTCTTTTTCTAACTACTCTGTACTTAAGCATGAATTCAACATGCAAGAACATCATCAGGTCATTTAATTTCCAGCCAGGACTCTTTCAGGGAATGGTTCTCATTATCTGAACATGCACAAGGTTCTCTAGGATAAAATAGACTATCTTTTTCTAGTTTTCTTAGGGGATTACATATGCAAACTAAGGAAACAAAAGCCAATTTTGTAAAACAAACAATTTAACTTCTTGTTACAATCATGATTTTCCTCAAATTTGAGTCAATCTATAGTTTAATTATTCCTTTCAGAAATAATAAAATCATTTTAAAATACCCATTATTCACTTAGATAAAACACAAATCATTAAAGACAATTATTCACAATTTGGTTTGTAGTCTCTGTAATACAGAAAAAAATACCTAAAAAATAAAGCGTTCACTAAAATTCTTGATTCATTTTTAATTAAGGAAAATGCATTTACAAAATAATAATGTTTCCTGAGTTTTATATTCCTTTATGAAATTCTGCAGTGTGAGCTACCTGACTTATTACTGAATACATATATGTATGTGTATGTTGGGTATATGCCTTTATAGACACATGGGGAGTAAAATATATACAAATACATACATATACACAAATATTTACATCTAAATGAAAGAATTTTGCAGTATTTTATATCCACAGACCTCCCATTTATCAGAAGTAATGCATGTAGAATAAAATTAGGAAACATTCTTCCTATCAATATAAAAAGCCAACTATGGATGCCTCAGGATTGATTGGCTAATGTGGCTTGCTTAGTCTTTGCTCGTTCTCCATTGGTAAGTACTGCATAACTGAAGCTGCGCACATAGAGATGTACAGAGTAGACGACAGACGTGGAGGATCATCTTGGCAGACTACCCAGAATATTTCCTTACATACGTAGGCTTAGCAATGCTGATACCCTCTGCTTTGTATTCAAGACAATACATAAAAACTTTTATAAAAAAACCTAAATTTTCTTAAAATCTATTAAAAAATGTACTTAAAATTTTTGTATACCTCCCTTCAAGTTGTTGATCAAAGGATTCCCAGACATCCCTCAAAGCAATACAGACTATTGCCACTGTTTAGCTGTTCACCAGAACTTGATAGTAAGACACTTTGGTTGAAGATACCACACAGTTTAGTAACAGGACATGGAGAAACCCGGCTATGCTGTTAAGGAAGCCTCCTCACTCCTGGCTAGCTCTCACAGTACCAGAAACACTCCATAGGCTGCCAGGAGAGAAAAGTCAAGAGTCTTCCTGAGATCTGAAAACTGTCAGCTACAATAATGACCACCCAAAAAAGCTATGCATAGGAGGTCAGCAGTAGCAGGAATGTTATGGGTGTAACCAACCATATTCTAAATGGATTTAGGGCCCATTCCACAGGAGAAAACAAATGCCTGGCATTGTAAATCTGTCCAAGAACCCATTGTTAAGGAGCTAATAGAGTTAAGGGTGAACTTATCACTATTATTTTTCTAAATGAACCGAGCACCCATTTTTTCCTATAACTACATATCTCCATGCCCACAGATTAATGCAGCCCTCAGTTCGCACCAGAAAAGATTCTTTGTTCAGTGGAGGTCGTTAACATAGAAACTCTAAACTCATCAAAGTGCAGAGCATAAGTGCCTGAGAAATGTTTAGCTGTAAACTGAACATCTCTATCATACCCCTTTTCTCCCAGACTCAGAGAAATTTTGGAAGACTCTAAGATCAAGAAGTTAGGAGGACTAGGACGAAACAATGTCTTCTGGACATGAACGAGAAATGCACTCATGAACTCATCGCAACTATGGCTGCCTGCACAAGAATCTGTAAGATCAAGCCAATTAACATTCCAGCATGGAGGATGGAGAGGTCAGGAGCTATTACCCCTAGCTAAGGAACTATTGACATTCATGAATAGTAGAGTAGATAATCAGTTTTCCTTGAGAGTGTGGTACCTGATGAATTGATCACCTTCCACTGACTTGCCCCACAACATTAACTAAATTCAATGGGTTCTTCACAAAAAAACCCAAAAAAACAAAACAAAACAACAACAACA